ATTGAAGGCTGACCGGTCTTTGTTAACCTCGGTAATGGTCAGTGGTCCACTTGGACTCTGCAGGAAAAGGAGGGCAAGTGTAAGAGGAAGCGCGGTCGCGCAAAGCGAGCTTGACTTTAGCTCGGTCATGAAGAGTGCCAAACCACCTCGGTCGTAAAGGCTAACCAAGGAGCTCGGTCACCCAAGCGGACTAGATGTTAGCCCGGTCGAGCGACCAAGTCCTTTGGCTATCCCGGTTTTTACTAAGGTTGGGGCGAACAGGTTCTTTGCTCGGTCTAAGCAGTTTTTTGGATCTAAGGAGGACCTGGAGCCCGGTCGTCCCTAGATCTTCAAAGTTCATCAAGGAAAATGAAGAACACCATGCAGTAAGGGGTTTGGGACGATTCTGTATTCCTAAATCCTAAAACCTAAGGAATAGGTACCCTAAAGTGTAGAATAACAAATGTAATAGCGAAAGCTCGAAGAGACTTACCAAGATTTGGTGCAAACGCAGTTCCTTCCAACGCAAACACAAAACAAGAACGAGAATGGAAGCTTGGCGAGGGCACAACAGCTTCGCAATGCTTGGAATGCCAGAGAGTCAGTACGAATCAGAGGAAGAAGGAAGATACATGTTTATAGGGGTAGTGAGGCCGCCCAAATTCAAAATTGAGGGGACGGCTGGGTTGGCTGCTCGAGGACTAATAGAGGATTGACACGTGTCACCATTTATGGCAGCATCAGAACTGAAGAGACAGGAATGTCAACCAAGGAGTTGAACCGGGCAAGTTTTGAAGACAGGAATGTTAACTAGCTCGGTCGCCGTTTTGCATACTGAGGACCAAGGAAGAATTACCTCGGTCAGGATAGGTAATCCCAGTCACACTTCAGCGGACGGAATTAAGGGGAAATTGAGAGGGAGATTAATGATATGGAATTGGGCCGGATAGATTTGGGCCAGACAGAGTTGTGCCAGACAGATTTGGGCCGAACAGGTGTTGGGCCAAGTTGTGTGGCTTGGCCTTGAAGGAAGCTGCTCGGTTAAGGCAGCGCGTGGATTGACCGAGCTGCAAGGATCCGTGGTTACGAAGTCGGTCAGGTGAAAAGTCCAGCGAAACGAAAGGAAAGGCAAGGTTGGACCGAGGTACCTGTTTGCTCGGCAAGTAGGTCGACCGCAGACAAGCGTGAGTTGTCCCGAGCTCGGCTTTGCCGAGATGCTGCCGAGTCCGGTCCTCATCTGAGCTTAGCTGTTAGAGTACTTGGGCATGAAGCGCAGCATGGCAGACAATGGCCGAGATGGTATTGCCCGGCTGTCAAGCTCCCAGGAGAATGGGCAGGCAGTTGGGTTAGGTGGTGCTCAACAAGGCTTATGCTGACAGATGGGATAGCAGTGCCACGTGTTGAGAGGTCACTGGGAGTAGATTTGGGGCGCAGAAGGTATATAAGCACGTCTGCGCCCCCCATACGGGGGCAGATGAACATTTGGTAAGAGAAATACTTACACTCAACTCTCTCCTCTCTCTCTCTATCCCAAGGTGTGTGCTAACTTGATCGTTGGAGGGGTTTTCCGGCCACACACCGCCGGGTAGCTCACCGATGTTGTGCTCGCAAGTCGATCGAACAGGAAGGAGCGTGGAAGAAAGGAGTACGGGCCTGCCGGAATATTTGCTCCCCGTACAATTGGCGCCGTCTGTGGGAAGCTTGACAGACAAAACCTTGTCTTCCAGGTTCATCTGATCAGGCATGAAGCGCAGCATGGCAGACAATGACCGAGATGGTATTGCCCGGCTGCCGAGCTCCCAGGAGAATGGGCAGGCAGTTGGGTTAGGTGGTGCTCAGCAAGGTTTATGCTGACAGATGGGATAGCAGTGCCACGTGTTGAGAGGTCACTGGGAGTAGATTTGGGGCGCAGAAGGTATATAAGCACGTCTGCGCCCCCCATACGGGGGCAGATGAACATTTGGTAAGAGAAATACTTACACTCAACTCTCTCCTCTCTCTCTCTATCCCAAGGTGTGTGCTAACTTGATCGTTGGAGGGGTTTTCTGGCCACACACCGCCGGGTAGCTCACCGATGTTGTGCTCGCAAGTCGATCGAACAGGAAGGAGCGTGGAAGAAAGGAGTACGGGCCTGCCGGAATATTTGCTCCCCGTACAAGAATATTCACAACCTCATTTTATTCCGTTATCAAACATGATCATAGCACACCTAAGACTTGTTTGCAATTGCCTTTCTGGTAATGATTTTGTTGAATTTTTTTTCGGTTAACTTTTCTTTTCTTTTTTTAAAAAAAAAAAGAAAAATCCAAAAAAACTTTTTACTTTTATGTCTAGAAGGCCCTAAATAAATAAATAAATAAATAATTTTGAAAAAAATCTACTAAATGGGAAAAAAAAGGTATTTTATTTTATTTATTAATATTTTTATTAAAAAATTATTTTTTAGATTCTTATAGGGTAGAAGGATTTGAAAAATAAAAATTAAACTAAACTTTAAAATGTTAGGAAATTTTTTTTTAAAATTTTATTAATTAAATACACATAAATTTGTCATGCAAAATGATAAATAAAATGATACAAATGGGTTGAGTTTTTTTAAAAAAAAAATCAAATATGAATTTAAGAGAATTCGAGGGACTCGTGGAACTCAATTCAAGTATTTGAATCGTATGTTTTGTAGGACTATTAATGTATGTCATCTATGAAAAAAATTAAGTCGATTCAATAGACATAATATTTTTATTTTACCACATTTGTTTATTAAAAAAAATAGATAATAAATGTAACGCCCTCAAAATAACAACATTAAACCCATCAGATAAGACATGAATTATCTGATAATCGTAATATTTTCATTTTATCGATTTTGCTTTTGAAAAAAAAAAAAACTGACAAACATGTTTATGAAAATAAATTAATTATTTTTTGAAGACAAACGCGATAAAATGAAAGGAGAATTGCAAAAAAAATAGTATAAATCGAAAATAATTGCATAGAGGTGGAAGTACAACAATTAGTTGCACAGTTTAATGTATGAATAACTTGTATTTCTATGACATTGTAATTATTTTGTGTCATTTTTGTGCAATTCTCTCTAAAATGTTATAATTATCGAATATTTAATTTTTTTCATGATATAATTTTATAAAATGAACAATTCAAATTATTAAAAAAGAACATGTAATGAGTGTCGTGAATGGTTTAAATTCTCTCGAAGTTGAAAATAATAAGGTTGTATTTGATTTAAGAATTTGGAGAGAAATTTTAAAAAATAAAAATAATAATAATAAAATATATTTATATTTTATTTAATTTCATACATAATTTTTTTTTTACTATTCAAGTTTCTCTCCAAATATTTTGGTTTGAACCAAAAGGGTTTTTTGAGGCCACGAGACAGCGATGTTCTTCCTAGCTTCCCAAGTTTACGAAACAAAGCTCCTCCACTTTGGGATGTTTTGAGAGGATGGTAAAAAGTAATAGTTTTTTTGGCTTTTAATTAAGTTTTTAATTTTTTTAGAAAAATGATTTGCGAAGTTGAGAAAAAGTTATTTTTGAATTTTTGAATTAATATTTATTTATGATGTCAAATCACAATAAAATAACTAAATTATCCCTACTTAATTTAAAATATTTATAATTTCACTCATGTAATACATTTTGACTCATTAGAGATAGAATTATAATTTCACCAATAGATGAAAACCAACTCCTAAAATATCTTTGAATACAAAAAAAGTTAATTTTTAATTGTTTCTACAAACGCACAAACTTGATTAAAAGTCAAGTATCAAAAGAGGCCTTTGACTTTGACACATTGTAAGATGAGACATACCAACAAAATAAACAAAAGAGAAGACATACCAACATATGGAAGCCTTTGATAGAGTTTTAGGATTATAATTTGACAATAAAATTTTTTGTTTTGTTTGTGAGTTTTAAAATTATAATTTGAATGTAAAAAATTTGTTTAGTTATAAGTTTTGAAAAGAGTTTTAAATTGAATTTGAAATTTTTGATGTAACATATGATATTTGATTAAAAATTTTACAACTCATAACCAAATATACAATTCAAAATTCTATTGAAAGCTCATAAAAAATTTTAAAAAATTCTAAAAATATTTTTATTTAAAATATAAAAAATAAAAATTCCCAATTTCCCCCCCCAAAAAGAAAAGTGCACTGTTCTGCTCGACTGGCCGAACGTTCGAGAAGACGATCGAATTGGCCAAATTTCAAAATTTAAAACCACGCCTAAAACAATTTTGCAAAAGTGAGTATGAAATTAATTTTTGAAAGTTATATCTAAACACCACACTCAAATATGAGTATGGAGTCCTGATTAGAATGTTATACCAAACACAGATAATTTTTTTATGAAAACATGTGACTTTTGTAATTATTCAATGTGTTTGGCTCGGAATTCAATTTTTGAAAAGTCAAGTTTTTAATTTTTCATATCTTTTTATTTTTAGTGAATATTTTTAAAATTTTAAGTAATTTTTATATTTTTTTAAATGTACCTTATTTAAATATATATTTAAAAAATTAATAAATATACAAAAATATGAAAAATATATTGTATTTTTTTTTTTTGTATTTAGTAAATTTTTTTAATTTTTTTTTTACAAATATTATACTTTTTAAATGTATCTAAATTGAGCTGATCTAAAAAATTTTAAAAAATAATAAATATTAAACAAATGAGCAAAAACAAAAAAAAATATATAACAAATAAAAAAATAAATTTTTTTGAAAAGTAAATTGTGAAAATGAAAACCATGATCATTTTTTAAAGGGAAATGCTAGGTTTCATAAAGAATTTTCATGAAAACTGTCATGAAAACTATCTGCACCGTTAGATCAGGTATGTGTCTCAGGATCTAACGGTGCAAATGATTTTCATGACAACTTTCATGAAACGTAAGAGGACTTTTTTTTAAAATTTTGCGTGGGTGAGCGGTCGGCAGAGGCTTGTTGGTATTCGTCTCGTCTCTGAGGCTTTTTTTCACCCAAATCATTACTTAATTCATAGTTCCAACCCAGAGAGTTGTTTTTTTGCCTTTCTTCGTCTTTCTACTTTCCAAGAGATTCTATAAAATTTTGCGTGGGAGAGCGGTCGGCAGAGGCTCGTTGGTATTCGTCTCTTGTCTCTGAGGCTTTTTTTCACCCAAATCATTACTTAATTCATAGTTCCAACCCAGAGAGTTGATTTTTTGCCTTTCTTCGTCTTTCTACTTTCCAAGAGATTCTATAAATTGCTTTCTCTGTACAAGTAGTGTGTCGGTTTTCATGCAAATGGCTTTCAATTCAACAGTCCTTACTGTCCTCAAAACCATTGTTTGGTTGTCACTAATGAGCAACTTTCTCATAGTATTATCCGATGGAATTAAGACTGAAGAGAGTGATATTTATTGCTTGAAATCAATTAAGGATTCCTTGGAAGATCCTTACGATTACTTAGGCTCTTCATGGAATTTCGGCAACAGTAGTAAAGTCTTCATCTGTGATTTTACAGGAATTGACTGTTGGAACGATCACGAGAACAGGGCGATGGGTATCCGACTCCCAGACAGGGGACTCAAGGGTCAATTTCCTCGAGGGATCTCAAACTGCACCTCTTTACAAACTATAGATCTTTCAGGGAACAAACTTGTCGGAACCATCCCTTATGATATCTGGCGATTCCTCCCATATGTTGTATCTCTCGATCTTTCGGCCAACAGTTTCAGTGGTGAAATTCCGCCCAGTATTGCAAGTCTTAGGTATCTCAATATCCTAATACTTGATGACAATCGGCTCACTGGACAAATCCCACATGAGCTTGGCTTGTTGCTTCGCATCAAGTCCTTTAGTGTTGCTAACAATCTCTTGTCGGGGCCGGGGCCGGTGCCGGGGCCGGTGCCGGATTTTGGTAGCACCTCTGTTACAGCTGAGAGCTATGCAAATAATAAAGGACTTCGTGGGGGTCCTTTGAAGCGCTGCAAGGCTCCTGATGCTTACGATCATGCTTTCTACCTAAATGGCTTCGCGGTTGGTTGTTCGGTTTCTAGTGTTATAGTTTTTGTGTAGGTGATTTTCTGACCACACTGCCCGCTTAGTAACCAGCTGGAGAGCACCAGCAGAATAGATGGCTTCAGCTAACCTATAACAAAAAGAAAAGGCTCCGGCGGTGGTTCTTGCACCCGGGGACACTCCGACGATCAAGTCAGTATATCTCTCAAAGATAATCAAGTACTAAACTTAATACTCAAAACATAAATTGCGTACCTTAGACCCACGGAGTGCCTTTCTTTATAGTTGACTCAATCCCAGTCCCACTAGAAGCCTGACTTCTATGGACTCTCATTCAATTCTTACTTTGGACTCTCCAAGAGATAAGGATAAACTCTCAAAGAGCTTTATCCATATCTTGATTTAATCTCTTCTTCATTCTAGGACTCTTGTCCCTTATCCACTTATCTCGAATTCCGATATCTACGGAGATAACCTCGGCCTATCCGAGATGACCTCAGCACAACAACCAGGACACGTGGCATCTCGGCTGACACGTCGGCGTCACCTTGCCACGTGTTGGTACTCAGAAAATATATCCCCACAGTTTTTGCTCTGACTATGTTTTATTTGCCCATCGATCCACTATTGAAGAAGATTATGAGTAGCAAGAAGAAGAAAAGAAACCAACCGGTGGTTCAACTAAGACAATGGCGCCCAACTGCAATGAATAGAGTTGAGGATACCAAGGTTGAACATCTCTCTCTCTCTCTCTACTCATACATTTTGCGTCTTTTCCTCCCTCCATGTTCAGTTGTTCCTTGTTTGTTGTCAGTCATCTCTCCTATTAGAATTTTTGCTATTTCTCAATTTTCAACTGGTGTAAGAAAAGCAAATGCAATTACAACATACCAAAGCTGCTATATCTTATGTTCTTAATTATAATTTGAATAGGTATAATATATAGCCTCCTATTATGGTAACAAACAGTGTTTGTCTATAACATATTGTTTTATAAACAGGGTGAGAGCATCTTTTTCTAGACTCAATTTCAAACACTGGATTAATATATTTTTATTGTTTGCATATCCACATTAGAGTCTCTGTTCTTTCTTTTTGGACTCATTTTCAGACTATTCAGCCAATTACTTTTTGTTTTCCCTCGTAGTCGATACTATAATTTGGTTCACAGATTTCTAAATTAGAGAAATTAGTTACTAGAATAAGCTTCACAGAACTCGTGAATGCTACTGACAATTTTAGAGAAGACAACATCATCGGGTTGGGAAAGACCGGGACAATGTACAAGGCAGTTTTCCCAAATAGTTCATTCCTTGCCATCAAGAGGTTCTTCGACCCACAATTCTCTGAAGGACACTTTATGTCCGAGGTAATGACTCTAGGTAGATTGGGACACATTAATTTAGTACCTCTGTTTGGTTTCTGTTATGAAGGAAAGGAAAAACTGTTGGTTTACAAATATATGCCAAATGGTAACCTCTATGATTGGCTACACCCTCCGGAATGCGAGCTCAAGACCATGAAATGGCCTATGAGGGTTAAAATTGCTGTTGGGTTAGCAAGAGGATTGGCATGGCTTCACCACCACGACAGAAAATTCCGGGTATTCAATCAGAACATAAGCTCAAATTGTGTACTACTAGATAAGAATTTTGAGCCCAAGATCTCTAATTTTGGGGAGGCAAAGTTCATGAACTCGAACGATGTTGCTTTGGGTGGGAGTACTTTCACGAATGAGGAATTGTTGGAGTTGGGTTTCGATTTGTTGGAGCTGGGTTTTGATAAGAAGGATGTATATAGCTTTGGAATTGTGCTTCTTGAGCTACTTACAAGGAAGGAACATCGTATGGCAACCATTGCTGAAGCTTCTGCAAATTCTGATAACAATTTGGTTGAATGGATCATCAATCTTGTAAGTACCTCTTTTAGTCTGCAAGATGTAGTTGATGACTCTCTGATCGGGTTGGGATTCGATGGTGAGATCTTTGAGTTCATCAATATTGCATGCAAATGTGTTCAGCCAGTGCCAGAGCGGAGGCCAACAATGCTGGAAGTGTATCAAACAATGAGGGCCACTGGGGAGAAACATGGCATTGTGGACAATTCTGAGATGTGGAAAGAAACAGAAATTGCTACTGCCAGTGCTAGTGAGGGAGATATTGAAATAATAGGGTAAACGAAATAGGCTGAACAAGCCTAATTCGATGGGAAACCTTGTTTTGATTTACTAAATTTTTAATGCAATATTATCATTATTATTAGGATGACAACTTATGATAATTACGTGTGAAGGAATCATTGGCTGGCCGTAAAACTCATATTAGCCATATTATTCTCCTCCAAAATATATGTTTCGTTGCACTGAAGTATTGAATTGAATTTTTTTTTCCCTTTTGTTGATTTGGTTCCCAAATTACACAATATGAATTTAAATGGTCCTAGTAACACTCTGCTATCAAAGGCCGCATTTAGATATTGACTTTTTAGTGGTTTTTATTTATTATTATTCTTTATTAGGTTAAAAATTAATGTGTGACTTTTGTAGTTGTATAAAAAATTGTGAATTACTAAGATGTTTAACTTTTTTTTAATAATTTTTTGATTTTGTTGCACTGAAGTATTGAATTGAAATTTTTTTTCCCTTTTGTTGATTTGGTTCCCAAATTACACAATATGAATTTAAATGGTCCTAGTAACACTCTGCTATCAAAGGCTGCATTTAGATATTGACTTTTTAGTGGTTTTTATTTATTATTATTCTTTATTAGGTTAAAAATTAATGTGTGACTTTTGTAGTTGTATAAAAAATTGTGAATTACTAAGTTGTTTAACTTTTTTTTTAAGTATTGTCTAGACTTTTTTATTCTTTTTTATTTGTTTATGTTTTTTTAAAAATTATTTTAGCTAAAAAATTAAATTGCCAAATGGGCCCTGAATTAATTAGGGGAGCTGAGGTATTTTCAGAACTTCAGAAAAAAATAAATAAATAACTGAATTAATTTAAAATATTAGAGATCGAAATGTTGCAAAGAGCATATTTTGATAATCAAAATACAACAAAGTATGTATTTTGAAAATCAATGTGTATTTGATCATTTCAATTTTGTTGAGATCACTATTCTACATCATTTAAAAATTGACACATGTTTGATTATCTCCTACAATTCAAAAAATAAAATAAAATAATAATATAGTGAATTCACTACTTTAGCTAATAAAGGTGAATTTGGCGAGTCAAAGACCAAGCCCATTGTTTTTGCTCAGCATCATTCTCCAGCTCGACCCAAGTAGAACTTGTAAGCATCTCGGAAGTATCGACCGAGAGACCCAGAGCTTATTCCTGGTTCTGGACCCGGACCCCTCAATAAATTCTCCTGCTTGACCCGCTCAAGTCTTCTTGGTCTAAGTAAATTTTAGACACAGATTTCCATGCATTGAAAGCTGAAAGACCTACTATTGTCAATGGGTCTTGAGTCTTGACAAAAAGAAACAAAAGTGATGACATACAATACATAAGTTTCGTACACAAAGATACTATTTTTTTTTTTTCATTTTAAATCAAAATACCCATTATTATAAACTGCAATTTCACGAGCGCATCGGTCACATTGGATGAATTTTTTATTGGTTTCAAACAATTTTGCATAGCACAGCAAACAACACGTTTTCTGTATATGTGTTCCTAACAAGGTTTGTTGTTATAAGTCTGTGTCTCTAGGGCGTTGGTTGAATATAGAAATCAAAATATTATGTTTGAATATGAAAATTAGAATAGAAATTATTTTAATTATAGGAATCTTACCTTTTGTATATTGTGTCCTTATAAGAATCTTACATTATGTATATTGTTTCCTAAAATGTATCATGAATATATTATATATACATGACCTCTACATCATTGATTGGCAAACCAAATAATTCTTTTTATTTTTTTTGGTATCAGAGTCTCTCTAACCGTCTCTTTCTCAACTACTCACCACCACCAACTGCCTTTTATTTTTTTGGGCTACTGAGTTTATTCGGTAGTATCTATTTAGATAAGTCGTTGAGTTTTTTTTCCAGCTTCTTATTTTTTCTTAGACTGAGTTGCTATCTTTGTGTGTTTCTTAGCCCATTTTTTTCACCATGACTGATTCATCCTTTGTAGATATACCCACCATGCCTGTTCTAGTTAGTTCTAATTTTTTTTTTGTTTCTTATCACACTCCTATTCATCGTATTACGAGTGTGGTGTTGAATGAGAAAATTTTTGGCACTTGAAGCTGCTCCCTTAAACTCTATTTAGGGGGCAAGGGAAAAGCTCATTGGCTTTTATCTTCCACTACCCACAATGGCGGACTAAGGAAATTAAATCAGAGGGACACTTATTGATTATAGTAGTGAAATTTTTTACCAAAATTTTTTACATAAATTTTTTCGATTGACTTTGAGAAAGATCAAAAAAATAATCACCTTGCTTGTTTTCACTTTTCAAAAAATACTTTTCAGAAAATTCTACTTTCTTATTTTCCGTATTTTTTTGTTTTTATTGAATTTTTTTAATATTTTAAGAAATTTTTTTATTTTTTAGACACACCTAACATAAATATACTTAAAAAGTAAAAAAATTGTAAAAAAAATATTTTAAAAATTCACTAAATACCAAAAATATAAAAAAAAATACAAGAATTCAGTACATTTTTTGTATTTTTATGTATTTATTATTTTTTAAAAATATTTGTTCACAATTTTTTTACTTTTTAGATACATCTAAGTAAGGTGCATCTAAAAAAATTTAAAAAAAATGTTTAAAATTTAAAAAATATTCACTAAAAACAAAAAAATATGAAAACCAAAAAAATCAATTTTCAAAATTCTGTTTTTTTTTATTTATTAAAATTCTGAATATTGTGTTATTTTTAATATTGTAAAATTTTTAATAACCCAATTCACCCCCCCTCTTAGGTTGCCTATCTGGGATAACATCATCAACCAATAATAAAGAATCACATGAAAGGTGAATCTTACATGTTAAATGTAACTAACAATCCAATAAATTATATATCTTCATAGTAAAATTAATTATGTTTGTATGCCAATAATAATAGACATCACCATTACATTAATTTTTTTTTAAGAATTTTCATAGATAATAATATGACTTATCGTAATTTTTAAATTTTCAATCAAAATAATCATTATTGTTTTCATAATTTTAAAAATGTCATTAACATTTCACTCTAAATAATATTTTTATAATTAAAAAAATATTTTCTTTATATTTGGTATAAAAAAAACAAAACAAAACAAAACATAAAAAAAGAAACCCAAAACCCAGGAGGAGGCGCGTGACCTCCCGACTCCTCTCTATCTCCGCCCCTGACTACACAGCCTGCTGCAATAGATCCTACCCGTACATATCTCCGCCCCTGACTACACAGCCTGCTGCAACAGATCCTACCCGTACATCGTGGGATATTGATAACTGTACTATTTTGGAATGGATGTTCAACTCCATGGAAGATTGTATTTATCACATGTTGCTCTATTGTGACATAGTTTTCGGTCTATGGCATGCCTTGTCACAGATGTATACTCTTGCTCATAACGATGCACGCATCTTTGAGCTCTATCAGGATATTGCTCGTACTTCCTAGTCTGCCTTGGGTCTTTCTGTGTCAGAATTCTTTGGATACCTTCAGGGCTGTTGGAAAGAATTGGCTCAATATGAGCCTTTGACTAAGTTACCAGCAGATACTGCCTCTCTTGTGTCCAAATGCCTTGTTACCAGCATATTTACCAGTTTCCGATGGGTTTAAACTCTAAGTTTGAATCCTTTCAAACTCAGATTTTAAACACATCACCTATACTCTCTCTCTCTCTCTCTCTCTTTCTCTCTCTCTCTATGAGGCCTTTGCCACCATTGATAGTGATGAGCGTCATAGGCGTCTGGTTTAGCAGAATCCTTCTCTTTTGTCTCCAGTTTCATCTAATCAGATGGCTCTTGCTGCAAAGTTTAATTCTCGGGGTTTTACTGGTCCAGTTACTTGTCATCATTGTGGCGTTTCTGGTCATGTTAAGGCTCGTTACTTCAAATTGAGGCAACGTTCCTCTCACCCTTGTGGTGTTGGCACCCCTCGCACTATGGCTCTAGTGGATTCTGTTACTCCTATTCCTAGGTCTCCTCATCTCCCTAATTTATAGGAGTTACAGACCTAGATTGGTCAGTTTCAAGCTCAGCTTCGATCTCTTACTGCCAGCTTTCCTGGCCTATCATGTATCATTGTTGCCACACTTACAACATGTACTTCTACTACTTTCCATGTTCGGTTTGCTAGTCCCTCATGGGTTCTGGGTTCTGGGGCTAATGATCATATGACGGGTGAGTTTTATTTTCTTTCTTTGCCAGTCCCTACTACTATTGCCCAATCTGTGTGTTTTGCTGATGGTTCGTTATCCTCTATTTGTCATAAGGGTGTAGTGTCTTTATCCTCTACCATTACTTTATCATTTGTTTTACATGTTCCAAATTTTGTATATAATCTCATATTTGTTAGTCGTTTTGCCAAACAATTTAATTGTGCTGTCATCTTCTTATCCCCATCTTGCCTTTTATAAGACCTGAGTTGGAAGAGGATTTTTGGCAAGGGCTATGAGTGTGATGGGCTGTACTACTTTGGGGATCCATTGGACAAGCCGTCATTTTCTTCCGTAGTTAGTTTTCAGGCCTCTGTTTTGCCTGCTTCCATGCCTTGTGTTTTTAATATTCAAACTTTAGAATTATGGCACGCACGTATGAGTCATGTTAATTTTCAATATTTATGTCAACTTTTTCTTTCATTTAATAAAGCTTGTAAAGATTCTAAATTTCATTGTGTGGTTTGAGTTATCTAAGCATACTCGTACTGGCTATATCCCTCATATGACTCATGCTCCTAATGTTTTTGATATTATACATTCTAATGTCTGGGGCCCTTCCCTTGCCACTGCTTTTTCTGGTCATAGATATTATGTGACTTTTATTGATGATCACACTAGGTGTACTTAGGTTTATCTAATTCGGCGTAAGTCTGACGTCTTTCCCATTTTTGTCCAATTTTTACAGATGGTTAAAACTCAGTTTCATGCAGTTGTTAGGACTATCCGTTCTGATAATGGTAGAGAATATATTTCTAATGCATTTCGTTCCCATCTTAA